CGCAGCCGAGGACTCAAAGGTAGGGTCAGTGACAACAGTAGCAAGGAGACGCGTGACAGTAGGGTGCTCAGCACGATACCGGTCAGACTCAGGGTCCGGAACGTCAGGCAAAGAGGAAGCAGGAGGAGACGGTAGAGGGACACGCTGAGGAGCAGTAGAGGGACGCAGAGTCATGTAGTGAGTGCCTGGGACAGGAGGAGGACGCTCACGACGGACACGACTACCAGTGCGAGCAGGACGAACAGGCGACGCAGGACGAGACTCAGGCTCACGACGCTCTGTAAGACCTCCTGTGGGACCAGTGTAAGGAGAGGGAGCAGGGAGAGGCGAGGTAGGCGGTAACTGTGACTGCGACTGGACAGGCAGAGGACACTCTACGGAGGGAGGAGGAGCCTGCCCAAGAACCTGCTGAAGGAGCGGTACGAAGTACGGTCGCGGCCGCGCAGCGTCTCCAGAAGCAGAGGAGACTCCAGCGGCCGGGTCAACAGCACCAGCAGCAGCTCCACCAGCCGGGTCCTCAGCACCAGTAGGAGCTCCAACGCCCGGGTCCTCAGCAGCAGCAGCAGCGCCACCGCCCGGGTCCTCAGCACCAGCAGCAGCTCCACCGTCCGAGTCCTCAGTACCAGCAGCAGCTCCACCGTCCGGGTCCTCAGCTCCAGCAGCAGCTCCAACGTCCGAGTCCTCAGCACCAGCAGCAGCTCCACCAGGCGGGTCCGCAGCACCAGCAGCAGCTCCAACGGCCGGGTCCTCAGCACCAGCTGCAGCGCCACCCCCAGGGTCCGCAGCACCAGGAGCACCACTCCGAAGACTGCAGCGCCGTGTGTACCACTCGCGGATCTGCTGAATGGGGGGGAGCTCCTGGGTAGGAGGGGAAGTACCGGGACGAGCTCCAGCAGCACCTCTCCGGAGGCGGCAGTACTCGAGGTACCTCTCCTGCAGCTGCTGGGAGGAGAGGGCTCCTCCAGGAGTAGCACGCTCAGGCTCAGCACCCCCAGACGCAGCACCCCCAGGCTCAGCACCTCCAGGCTCCGCACCTCCAGGCTCCGCACCTCCTGGCTCAGCACCCCCAGGCTCCGCACCCCCAGACTCAGCACTCCCAGGCTCAGCACCCCCAGACGCAGCACCCCCAGGCTCAGCACCCCCAGACGCAGCACCCCCAGGCTCAGCACCCCCAGCAGGACGAGAGTCAACAGCTACCTCGACAGGCTCACCCGGGTCTACCTGGGACACACCTGAGGGAGCGGCACCCTGAGGGGGGAGGGGGTCTGGTACCTCAGCACCTGGAGCGAGGAAGAGAGGCGGGGGGGGGAGCGGGGCAGTGCGGTAGGGGAAGAGGCGGTAGTAGGGGACGGACTCGTCAAAAGTGACGTCCTGAGAGGCCAGGACACGCCGCGAGGTGGGGTGGTAGAACTGCCAACCAGGGGCGTCCGGGACAAAGCCAAGGAAGACGCAGGGGACAGCGCGACGGGAGAGCTTGTCCGCGGACGTGTCGCGGACAAAAGCTCGGGATCCCCAGACCCGAAAACGCGACGCATCGCCAGCCTCTCCCGTCCAACGCAGTGTCGGAGAAGTCTCGGGCAAGGAGACACGGGGCCAGAGGTTGAGCTGATGCGCAGCGTATCGGACTGCAAACGGCCACAGAAAATGGGGGGCAGCCGCATGGCTCAAGGAGGTACGGGCGACCTCCATGACCAGACCAATGCGGCGCTCAGCAACCCCATTCTGCTGTGGAGAGTCCGGAAGCGTGTACGACTGCTCAATGCCCTCCTGCTGACAGAAGGCCTCCAATAGGCCAGAGGAGAACTCCCCACCTCTGTCAGAGTGCAGACGCAGGACAGGGAAGTCGGAGCGGAAACGCTCACGGAGCTGGAGACGAGATCTGCGGATCCAAGGGATCAAGACATCAGGGACGTCACCCTTGGCGCGCAAGGGGAAGACCGTGGTGTAGCGCGAGAAGTCGTCAACAACAATCAGGAAGTACCTCTCCTGACCCTGACCACGGACGCGGGCTGGGCCCCACACGTCCATGTGGAGCGTCTGCAAGGGAGCAGTCGTCGGGGGAAAGGAGGAGGAGTGAGGAGCGGCGCGCTGCCGTCCCTCGACACAGGGAATACAGGGAGGAGCAGGCGAGTCGGGAAGGGGAGGAAGCACCCTGGGAAGACCAGCAACAAGGTCCCGTTTGTGCATAGCCCGAAGGCGCTGCACAGACGGGTGACCAAGGCGGTGGTGCCAAAGGACAGTCTCATGCGCCAGAGAGCGACACGAGCAGGGGGCAGACAGCTGACCTGACGCAGACGCAGACGCGGACGCAGCTACCTGAGGGGACTCAGTGGTCAGTGTGTACAGGTCCGACCCCGGCTCTCGAGTGAAGGTAGCCAGGTGGCGACCCGTCCGAGCACACGTGCAGTGTGTCACGCGCTCGTAGGCAGGGGTGAACTGGTGAACACCCCCGTCCTGGAGCGCACTACCTGCCACCAAGTTCGTAGAGAACGAGGGGAGGTAGAGGCCTGACAGTGTGCCGGACGGGACCGCCGGACAAGGAAGGACAGTGGAGGAGGTCGCAATGACCGGACCCCCAGAGGGGTCAGCAAGGGAGACGGAAACTGGCCGAGCGAGTGGCTCAAGGACAGTGCGGTCACGAAAGAAGGAGCGAGAAGCACCTGAGTCCAGTGTGAAGGTGTGCAGTGCTGCAGTCGACTCAGTACCAGGGGGCACGGACGCACGAGCACCTAGGGCAGCGGCCTCACCAGGACCTGTGGGAGCAGACGCACTAGCACCTAGAGCGGCAGCCGGACTGGCCTGAATGCCCGGGTCGGGCGGAACACGCAAGTACTGAGCACCCTCTCCACTAATAGACATCGCATACATGGCAGTGAGAATAGCATCAAAGTCTAAAGCCCAAATATCAACACCCCTCTTTTCCAGATCAGCCCAGCGCGGCAGCTCAGTGGCAAAAGGAAACTGAGTGCGCCACGCGTCGTTAAGGCGCGCGAAGCAGCGCTGCGTGGGGTGCGGCCTCCCACACTGCTGGCCGCTGCGGTCACCTGTGCGAATGACGTACGTGCAGGTAACGCTACGCTGCGCATACCACTCACGGGCGGCCTGAAGCGTCGGGGCGGGCTGCTGACTCGGGCCTCCGCCAGTGCCTCCACGACCACCACCCCCACCGCCGCCGCCCCGGCCACCTCCACCCCTGCCGCCGCCACGACCACCTCCGCCTCCGCTGCCGCCTCCACCACCACTCTATACCACATCATCACCCGCCTCCCTGACTCTCTGCGCGCAGTCAGGGACCACTTCCTCTCTCGCTCCCCCACTGAGCTCACTGTTGCCCTCCTCGAGAAGGAACTGCTTGCAGCTGAGGCGAGTATCGTCGCTGTAGGCACCTCTCGTGGCGACCCCCGCACCCCGTTCTTTGAGGGGTGTTCCCCTTCCCCCCTCCTCCCCTCTGTCGCCTCTGCTGCTGCTGTCGACCTTCTTGGTGCTGAGAAGGTCGGGACCGCGTCTGCTTCGAGCGGGCGCCGCAGGAACAAGGGGGGCAGGGGTGGGGGTGGCGGCGGAGGAGGTGGGGGTGGAGGCGGTGGGAGTGGAGGCGCGGCTGGGGAGACTAGTGGCGGCAGTGGGGGAGGATAGGATAGGAAACTCCCCTAGAGGGAACCACCGGTGCAGTGCCTCTGATGGTGGTGGTGGCAGCAGATGTGGGGATGGGACAGGATAGGCAACAGGTGAGACCAAGGAAACGAGTGTGTGTGCCCCAGAGCATCGATAGTGTTGATGGGGCACTCCCCTAGAGGGAACCACCGGTGCAGTGCCTCTGATGGTGGTGGTGGCAGCAGATGTGGGGATGGGACAGGATAGGCAACAGGTGAGACCAAGGAAACGAGTGTGTGTGCCCCAGAGCATCGATAGTGTTGATGGGGCACTACCCTAGAGGGAACCACCGGTGCAGTGCCTCTGATGGTGGTGGTGGCAGCAGATGTGGGGATGGGATAGGATAGGCAACAGTGAGTCCAAGCAAACGTGCGTGTGTGCCCCAGAGCATCGATTTTGTTAATAGGACCCTTCTCTGGAGGGAACCACAGGTGCAGCGCCTCTGGTGGTGGTGGTGGTGGAAGCAGGTGTGGGGGTGGGAAAGGATAGGGCAACAGGTGAGGCCAGCCAAACGTGCATGTGTGCCCCAGAGCGTCGATGTTGCTAATGGGGAACTCCTCTAGAGGGAACGACCGGTGCAGTGCCTCTGGTGGTGGTGGCAGTAGGTGAGGTGTGCAATGGGAGATGCGTGTGGGGAGGGAAGCAAGGAGTCACATGAGTATGAGTGCACTCTGCTGGCATAGAGCAAACACCAGAGGCAGAGGGTAGACCTTGTTGATTGGGCCCTTTCCAAGGGGAACCACCAGTGGAGTGCCTCTGGCGGGGTTCGTGGCAGGGAAATTGCATCCGATCCGATGAAATGCAATTGTGGATTTCAACTTTGAAAATTCTCAAACGTAAAATCCACAGTGCCTCCGGTGGGCATCGTGGCAGGGAAATCTCGCATACGATGAATTGTATTCTGCGGCAGGTGGGGAGCAGGAGCACACATGAATATGCATGTGCGTGATTGGGCAAGTCAATACTGCAGTGGAAGGAACAGAACAGGATGGCAGACGGAACGGAACGTGACCCCCTAAGAGGATTGTACAACCCTCCCATGGCTTTCGAATATGGCACCTCTAGCCCCTGGTGCTTCCTCCCTCCTTCACGCTCAGCCTAATGTCCCCTCCCTCACACGCACCTTTGTGCTTGGCAGGTTCGATGAAAAGGAAGGGGGAGGCTGATGGCATGGGCCCACTGGGAGGAGGAGAGTGCAGTACACTACAACCGCCCCTCACTTTTCAGCCCTGCAAACGCCTCCCTTCAACTTTGTGCTTGGCGGGTTTGATGAAAAGGAAGGGGGAGGCTGATGGCATGGGCCCACTGGGAGGAGGAGAGTGCAGTACACTACAACCGCCCCTCACTTTTCAGCCCTGCAAACGCCTCCCTTCAACTTTGTGCTTGGCAGATTCGATGTGATGGAAGGGGAAGGCGGAAGGCATGTCACCAACCTGTGAGGAGCCTATAAACCCTAAACCCCATTGCATTGCATTGCAACCCCTGGTGCTCCCCCCCTAGTGCCCCCTCCCTCGAACTCACCTTTATTCTTGGCAGGCTCGATGTAATGGAAGGGGAAGGCGGAGGGCATGTCACCCACTGAGAGGTTGGGGATGGGGCGCAGAATTAAATGGTCTGGCTCTGCCATCCACACGTACCTGTGAGGGGGGGCGGGACAAGGGAAGAGGGGAGGGAGGTGTGCGTGTGGATGAGGCTGGCTGATGGCATGTTGCCGCCCACTGCAAGGTTGAGGATGGGGTGAAGGATGAGACGGCCTGGCTCCGCCATTCACACATGGCTATGACGGGTGGAGGGGCGGGGAACGGACGAGCGGAGAGAGGGGATGGGCGGAGGGGATTTTGCCAACTGCGAGGGAGGATGGGGTGAAGGATGAGATGGTCTGGGGAGGGAGGGGGGAGGAGAAACGGGGAGACTGAAAGTGAGGAAAGAAGAGGTTAAGTGGGTGCAAACTCAGGATGAGATGGTCTGGCTCTGCCATCCATCCTTTGCTGTGAAAAGGGGTAAAGCGATAAATGGGAAAAAGGGTGGATGGGGGAAGGGGTGAGTGGGACAAGCAGCAGGGGGTCGATTTTGTAGAGAGGTGATCACATGTGGTGACATGTGGTAGCATGACGCCCATGACATGTGACATGCGGTGACATGCGGTGAGATGTGGTGAGATGTGGTGACACGTGGTAGCATGACGCCTGTGACATGTGACATGTGGTGACATGCTAGGGCATGCGATGGCAAGCAGCGGCACACGATGATGGCAGGTGGTGATTGATGGTAGTGATGGCATGACATGTGATGGCATGACATGCGATGGCATGCCATGTGATGACATGGCATGTGATGGCATGGCACGTGATGGCATGGCATGTGATGGCATGACATGGGATGGCATGGCATGTGATAGCATGGCATGTGATGACATGACATGTGATGGCATGGCATGTGATGACATGGCATGCGATGGCATGCCATGTGATGACATGGCATGTGATGGCATGGCACGTGATGGCATGGCATGGCATGTGATGGTATGGCATGTGATGGCATGTGATTGCACGTGATGGCATGTCATGGCATGTCATGGCATGTGATGGCACGTGATGGCATGTGATGGCATGTGATGGCATGTGATGGCATGTGATGGCATGTGATGGCATGTGATGACATTACATGTGATGGCATGCGGAGCTTACTCTTCAGGAAACGTGGCTTGCTGAATCCACTGCACGAACGCGTATGGTCGATTCAGAACCACATAGTCCTGCCATGGGACGTGGACAAGGGATGGGAGACAGAAAATTTGGGAATTCAGGCCCGAATTACAAATAAACTAACAGATTCAGAATATGCTGAAACGTCACACAATATGCCCTCGTGTGGCAACGCACGTATCGTACCCCATCCCATCCCATCCCATCAGCCATTCACCCCCTTACAACACGGCCAAACGGCATCCTTCAACCGAAATTCATGCCCCCAATCACGCCCCCGAAACCGCCATTCATTCTCCCATCCACCCATCCATCCACCCATCCATCCATCCCCGTTACCCCGAGGCACCGTTTGTTGTTGCGGGGGCAGCGGATTGACGACGAAGGTCGGGATTTCATCCATAAGCTCGTCTTCCTTCCCCGTGTGCAGCACGCGCGTAAATCCGCCCATCTCCTCTCCTCCCGGCTCGCGCTGCCATTTCTTGTAATAAAAGTACATGACTCGCGACTGCCACTTGCTGTAACCCGAGCTGTCGCACGTCATCGCCGCGTGGAACGGTCGCAGCGGCCCGTTTCGCCGGATTGACCGCTTGCCGTTTGCCGTGTCGGCTGGCCGGCCGACGACTGGTAATTCTGACGATGACGTGGAGCTGCGGCCGTCAGGTTTTCCGGTGCTAATCTGAGGAGTAGCGGAATCCTTCTTTCCTTCGTCAAGCGGATGGCGGAGGGATCGACGGTGAGTGACCACGGCCGGAGGATTGTCCAGAAGCATCGTCACGAAATTATAAGCCGCGAAAAAGGATGTGGAGAACGCTACTATAACGAGGATGAGCCCGGACACGCGAGCCATGATGAGGCTCAAACGGATGAAGCGTTCAGGTTCGAAACAAAAGATTCGTATGAGAAAAGCAGTCCGCGCGTGACGAGGGTCACGACGAGCCGCAGCTAGCGGGAAAAGCAGTCCCCCGACCCGGGGGCGACGTCGGGACCGACAACTCTGGCAAATTGGACCAACGTCTTACTGTCCGATGAGACACAGGTTCGAAACAGACGATTTGTATGAAAAAGCAGCGATGGGATCGCCATTACTGAGGTCTTATCTGGACCATTTCTCCCTCGCCCTTTTGGATCCAATCGAGCCAGTCAAGAAACACAGTCGAGGGGGTGATGCGCAATCCGAGGGCGTGTTTATTTGTCCAAACACGGCGCCCGGGTTGTGATTCACCCCATGTGGGGTCGGATTCTTGATGGCGGACTGCTCTGTGCGCAGGGATTCTGCTCTCAAAACTCTTGCGGATGGTGTTTACGTGAACACCTCCTCCACGACATCGACCTGGTGGATCATGCAGAATTTGCTCGTTAAAGTTGACTCGATTTCCGATAACGCTGGCCATTGGGATCTTCTCCTCTTCATAGCTTATTCACTCTGGAAACATGGAGTAATCCAATTACGGATTCTTTATTACCTTTTTAAAGGTTGAAACGCAGTCCTCAATAACGAGGAAAAGCACCCACAAAACAAGAGATGGCTTGCCTTTCAAGCCATTTCCGTTGGGGGCGCTGACTTGAATTTCGTGAACCAGCGTTCTTCCCGCTCGGCGAACTTTACCGAGTGTGCTCGGCGCTCGGAGCTCGGTGCTCGGCGCTGGGCGCTCGGCGATCGGCTCTCGGTGCTCGGTGCTCATTGCTCTGATCTTAACTATCAGCTACTGAATACCACCAGCTTGCCGGGTCGCTTCGATAAGCACAAGTTGCGAGTAGTAACTGACGCTGCGAAAGTTTGACGGGAATTTGACGGAGACGATGGACGGCGGTGCTGAAATTGACGTTGACGAGGACGACTTTCTGGTGCTCGACGAGGATGACGAGCTGCGCGCGCAGCGAATCAGCGGTGAGCAACGGGCACGGCGGTACAGTGCGAATCAGCGGCCTGAATTTGCGACGAAATGGCGACGAAGAACGGCAAGTAGCGACAGGGCAGGGCCACTCGTTACGATCGTAGAGGGTAGAGGATGGCGACGACAGTAGCGGGTGGGTGCGACGTTAGAGTTGATTGATTGCGTGGATTGAGAAGCAGAAGCAGCAGAAAGGCCGAAGGCTAAGATATCTGATTTTCGGAAAGGCCATAGGGCCGAATCGACCAAAATGGCGATTCTTGGACTGCAATTCTGAAGCTGCCTTCAAGATTTTCAAGATTCCGCTGGGCCTCTCCACCACCAGCGGCAGGAGAAGGGACGTCAGAGGAGGGCCACGCCCTGCGTTAATTCTCCAAGATGCTTTTCAGGGAGAACCACTCGTAGCGACACCCATGTGAATGTGTGGATGTAGATGGGTGCATGCATGCACGGCCAACTCACCGTTTTATCGTCCTTCTCTTCTCTCCCCATCATATCCCTTCTCAACACCACCAGCGGCAGGGGAAGGAACCTCTGAAGAGGGTCACGCTCTACGTGACTTCTCCAAGATGCAACTGAAGGAGGACCACTCGCAGCGACCCATGTGGGTGTCTGTATGCGTGTGCGTGCGCATGCATGCACACCAAACTTACTGTGTATCATCCTTTTCCCCACTCAACAACACCGTTGCGACCACCAGCGGCAGGCGAGGGCACGTCAGAGGAGGGCCACGCTCTCCGTGACTTCTCCAAGATGCAGCTGAAGGAGGACCACTCGCAGCGACCCATGTGGGTGTGCGTGGGGATGCATGCACACCTAAATCACCGTGTATTATCCTTTACCCCCTCAACACCACCACCAGCGGCAGGGGAGGGCACGTCAGAAGAGGGCCACGCTCTGCGCGACTTTTCCAAGATGCAACTGAAGGAGGACCACTCGCAGCGACCCATGTGGGTGTGCCCTGACGGCCGCATCATCCTGGAGACCTACTCGCCGCTCTACAAGCACGCCTACGACTTTCTTATCGCCATTGCGGAACCCGTGTGCCGGTGAGTGTGAGGTGCATCAGTGTGTGGCTGTCACTCAGCGTGAGTCATCCTGGAGACCTACTCGCCGCTCTACAAGCACGCCTACGACTTCTTGATTGCCATTGCTGAGCCTGTGTGCCGGTGAGAGTTTCCTCTCCTAGGTCCGACGTGGGTTCGCCTCTCCTCAGCACACATCATCCTGGAGACTACTCGCTGCCCTACAAGCACGCCGACGACTTTCTTATCGTTACTGCCGAGCCGGTCTGCCGGTGAGTGTTCGCTCTCCTAGTTCCGTGAGGTGTGTTTCCCTCCACTCCACTCTAACTCGCATCTGCCTGGAGACGAACTCTCCCCTCCACAGACAGACACGCGTAAGACTCGGCTTCCTTATTGCCATTTGAGGCGCCTCAAAAGACAGACACGCATAAGACACGGCTTCCTTATTGCCATTTGAGGCGCCTCAAAAGACAGACACGCATAAGACACGGCTTCCTTATTGCCATTTGAGGCGCCTCAAAAGACAGACACGCATAAGACACGGCTTCCTTATTGCCATTTGAGGCGCCTCAAAAGACAGACACGCATAAGACACGGCTTCCTTATTGCCATTTGAGGCGCCTCAAAAGACAGACACGCATAAGACACGGCTTCCTTATTGCCATTTGAGGCGCCTCAAAAGACAGACACGCATAAGACACGGCTTCCTTATTGCCATTTGAGGCGCCTCAAAAGACAGACACGCATAAGACACGGCTTCCTTATTGCCATTTGTCACAGTCATACAAAGAGCATGCTCTTTTCCTTTCTTGAGGTGTGTTAGTGTGTGTCTATATAGCACGCATATTTCTGCATCCCCCAAAACCTACTCGCCTCTTCACAGCACCACCACCGTCGGCTCTCCAACGACCAAGTTACCCAGGATCAAGCTATCGTATCGTCTATGCTCAAATAATACTACTTCCGCCATTCCTTCTCTCCCTTTTGTTCTCCCCTCCTCCCCTTCCTCCCACCGCCCTAACACCCTCCCTGCTGTTCTCCTTTCTCCCTTCCCCAGCCCAGGGAACGTGCATGAGTACAACCTGACCCCTCATTCACGCTACGCAGCAGTTTCTGTGGGTCTAGACACCAATACAATCATTTCTGAGCTCGACCGTCTCTCCAACACCAAGCTCTCTGCTGCTGCTCACATGCATCATACCCTGTACTTCCCTTCCCCCCTCCCACTCCCATCCCCTCCCCCAGCCCAGAGAACGTGCATGAGTACAACTTGACCCCTCATTCACTCTACGCAGCGGTCTCAGTGGGTCTAGACACCAACACAATCATCTCTGTGCTAGACCGTCTCTCCAAGACCAAGCTCTCAGCGGACATCATCAGCATCGCCTTCATCCGCTCACATGCAGTCTGTGTATCTTCCTCCCGCTCTCCTCCCCCCCCCCCTCCCACCTCTCCCTCTCAGTCCAGAGAACGTGCATGAGTACAACCTGACTCCCCACTCCCTGTATGCGCTGTTTCAGTGAGTCTAGACACCAACACAATCATTTCTGTGCTTGACCGCCTCTCCAAGACCAAGCTCTCTGCTACTGCTCACATGCATCACGTACTTCCCTTTCCTGCCCCCCCCCCACCCCACCCCCCCCCCCCCCCCCCCCGGCTCCCCCCTTCCCCTCCCCTCCCCCAGCCCAGAGAACGTGCATGAGTACAACTTGACTCCTCATTCACTCTACGCAGCAGTCTCAGTGGGTCTAGACACCAACACAATCATATCAGTGCTTGATCGTCTCTCCAAGACCAAGCTCTCTCCTGATATCATTACCTTCATACGCGAGTCGACGCAAAATTACGGGAAAGTGAAGCTGGTGCTGCAGCGCAACAGATACTTTGTCGAGTCCCCATACCCAAATGTGAGTATTGTTCTCATATACAATCACACCAGAGGGAAGGGAAGTGTTGTAAGGCAAGTCCAAGCTCTCAGCGGACATCATCGCCTTCATTCGCGAGTCAACTCAGAACTACGGGAAAGTGAAGCTGGTGCTGCAGCGCAACAGATACTTTGTTGAATCTCCATACCCCAATGTGAGTTTCTTTACTACATGTGTGTGACTCTCACGGCAATGTCAAGGTAGCGAGTCCACTCAGAGCTTAGGATGTTATGTGCACCTGTTGGCTGGACAGAGTGCTTTTATGGAGGTGAATGCCCACTTATGGAGTTCTTTCTTTCACTGTTCATGTGTTCTGTTTCTCTGGCAGGTGCTTCGGGAACTGCTGAGAGATGATGTGATTCGCCGAGCCAGAATTGTGGCCCCTGTCAATGATCAGGCAGGTGTTTATGGGTGTGTGTTGGGGGGGGGGGGGAGGGGGGAGGAGTGTGTGTGTGTGCGCGCGCGTGGGTGTGTGCGTGTGCGTGCTTACATTTCAATCGCTGTTTTTTGGGGGGCGTTTCAAAACTTGCATGCATTATGCGGCATGAGTACCTTGTGCGGTGTTGTGTGCACCTTGCGGCATGTGCACCTTGCGGCATGTGCACC